ATAAAATGAACAGTAGCTACAGTACACAGTGCAAACAGTAAACATATGCAGGCAACAGTCTCACTTTAAGTTCATTACAGTACAGCTGAGGACATCAGCAGCACTCATGAACATGAACAGCGGATAGATTACTGATATTACAGCAGGGAGTCATTTTAAAGATTCTTTACTATTAATATTTCTCATTAGCCAAGTTAGTTTTCTGTCTTCATTATTCACTGGTTCTCTGCAATGTGTCTGCTGTATACTTATTATATATTTTTATCATTAAAAATATATTTATTTGCTGATTTTCACCCGTTTGTGCATCTGATTGTCATTTTAATTTCTCTGTTAGGAGTTATTTTATTATTTTATCTTACAATTTTTTCTCATTTTCTTATTATTTTCTTGTTGTTTTCTAATTGTTTGGTCTGTGAAATATCAAAAAGTCAAAAGCAGACATCTTCAAGTGACTTTTGTCCAAATGGATTTCATTTAAATAAAAACTAATTTCACTGGAGACTTTAAAAATAATTAAAACTATTAACAGATTATCAAACCAGCTGCTCACCTACATGTGGTGAACTAACAATATATGTATTCTTTGCTTTTTTTCTATATGTTTTTAAATTAAAATAATTTGACTGTTTTATAAGAACAAACACCAACATCTCGTACTTTTATTGTGAAGGTAAACCATGTAACGTCCGGTAGAGCTCTGATGTCAGCTTGACGCCGCCTCCTGCCTGTTGGCCTCTGATTGGTTCAGAGCTTCATCTGATGAATATTCATGATGTGCTCACAAACAAAAACAAATCAAACAATAAAAATAAATAAATAAATAAACATTTTTTAATTGAGGGGATTTATCGTCACCCTTGAAATAAATGTGTGGTTGCAACATAAAACTTCTAACTTATTGATTTAGATAAAACACTTTGTGTTGACACAATGTGGAAAAACTAGTTGGAATGAGGTATTTTTTGAGAGTAATCAACTTAAAAACTTAAGTTCATGCTGCCAAACATAATGTGGTAAATAAAACACGTTTGATTGAAGAGGAAAAGCTGATTCCTGTAACTCAATAAAGTTCAATTATTGAACATAACTATATTAGAAGTTGCCACAACTCAAAAAGATTAACTCAAAACTGTTGCATTCATCTTCTTGTTGAGCCAAAACATGTTTTTAAAGTGTAAAAGTGGTACAATGAGTAAAATGTTTTATTATATCTGATGTTTTTGTATTAATATTACTGTTAATGTGTGTTTAAGGTTGAACTATTATATTACATTATTATATCATCTATAAGATTATTATATTACATTATTATATCATCTATAAGATTATTACATTACATTAATTATATATTCTATAATTCTAAGATTATTGTATATTCTATATTTGTAGACAAACAGCCTTTTTCAGCATTTTCAGATCATCTGAGAGGTTTTTTAAACGGTTTATTCAGATGAAGAAGAACGGTCTCAACCCATAAAGAAACTCTTCATCCTTCAGCTCATCACAAACATCCAACATCAGCACATCTGGAGATCCGTGGTTGTACAGAGACAGAGACAGTGGAGGAGGAGACGGCTCCAAATGAAAGGTAGAAGGAGGAGAAGAAGGAGAAGGAGGAGGCCATTGGGATGAACAGTGATATCAGACAGAGGAAGCTGCTGTGTGTGAGGAAGACTGTTGTTTATTGTTCAGTGTTATTTGAGATATCTAAGTCTGTATGAGGAGAAATGTTTCGTTATCTGAATGTTTTTAAGCTCATTAAACTTTATTAACAGCCGTCGGTCCAAATCCTCAAATTATTATAAACCACCATTTTTTGTAGAAAGTGACCGGAGTCTGCTCTGTGATATATTTACGTTCATGTTGTGTAGATTCTGGCGCCCCCTGTGGACAGAAGTGTTTCTACAGCCTCCTTTCATTGATTTCAAGGGGAACCTGACTGGGTGGCAGACATTAATAATAACTGTCTATAAATAATCAATCTTCTCTCTGATGTCTGTTTATGTGGCTCATATTTTATATTACTTTTAAAGTTTAGTTTTGGAGCGATTTATTACTTTTAGTTCCTAACTGACATCCACAGAGGAAACAAAAGCTGCTTTATTAAAAACCACTGCAGCAGATTCCAGCGCAGCGTTTGAAAAGAAGCGGACGTGAACAGAATATTAATTATTCAGTCGAGTCCGGCCAACTGGACTACATGTTGCTTTCAGTCTGGAGACAAAGAGAACCTCCTCACAGAACCTCCAATAACCAGTTTAACTCTTTACAGAACTTTATTATATTTATTATTAAATGAGCTCACTGTCCTTCGACCTGCAGACACAGTTCTAGTCAGTGAACCTTTTAAAGAGGTCAAAGGTCAGATTGTGGAGGTATGGGTCGGACGGGTCAGACGGCTCCCTGCAGCAGTTGGACTGCAGCCTCCCTGTTGTGCCTCCTGGCCTCCTGCAGAGGAGAGCTCCCCCACCTGGTGGAAGGACAGAACTACATTATCACACACTGCAGGAACAATCAGTGATTACACAAAGATACCTGAGCAGCTGTTTAATGAATATATAATAAAATATAATATAATATAATATAATATAAAGGGTTTATGTCTCACACTGAATCTTTGGAAATATCCCAGAAGATTTGTCCCATAAAGTCTTGTATCTTGTTAGGGTGCAAATAAGTTAATAATTTGCATCAGTGAGTTTGTTTTATCTCCTTTTTTCCTGCCTTCCTTCTCTTCTGAAAAATATCTAAAAATACTTTTACTACTACTTTTTTCATATTTTTACATTATGATTTTTCATGAATACACATATAATATTACGATTGGATAAACATTTACTATAAAATGACCTTATTGTTATACAAGTACTACAATTACCCCATAATATTAGAAAAATGTATTCACACAAGATAATATAAAAAATATCCTTACAGGACTTTAGTGGAAGAGAGAAATAAATTGTTTTTGCAGTGTGAATATTTTCTGTAGTTGTTCGGTTTATAGTTTGAGTTTATTTGAAGCTCCAGTGGGACACACGGTCACCTGGAGACTCACCTGTCCCGGAGGACGGCGTTCGCTCCGGTGTTCTCCAGCAGGAAGCGGATGACCTCTGTGTGACCTTCGGCGGCCGCCACGTGCAGAGCCGACCTGCCGTCATAGTCGACAGCGTTTACATCCACTCCAGACAGGAAGTACCTGCAGACAACCACAGAAGAAGAGAGTGTTTATATTTTGTATTTCTACACATAATCAGTCGGATGTCTCTGTACACGAGACAAAGCTGAACATCTTATTAAAGGTTTTATTTCATTAAACTGTAGTTAACAGCGCCAC